TTTTACATTTGTCGACTGCATGACAGTATATTCATGTCTGCCTCACCACTTCATTTCTTTCGATGGATGACACTGTTGTTGCTTAACTGTGTGCTTTTATTGACAGGTACAGCTACGGCGAATGCAACAGAATTTAGGCGTGATCAACTTGTATTTCGCCGACTGTTTAATACATTTCACTGTCTGGAATCTTATATCGCATTGAGGGGATTGTTCTACTCACTTAAAAACCGTGTGGCTAACGCCATCTCAGACCGCACATGGTTACTCCAATGTTTTACAAAGTTTTATGCTGTGGCACCGCGTCTAACCTTCTGTATTGTTGTGCGGGTGCTACTGCACATCCTGCTTCAGCTCGCCCCGTTAACTGCGTTTAGTATAAACCAGATCAACACAGCGAGGGCATTAGTCAAGAGTAAATAATTTCATACGCTGGAGGCGAATGGGTTTAGGTAAAACATTTAGCACGGACAAAGACTTGGCTCCGCACCTCTGAACCTTTTCGATCAAATTACCTTCAAAATTCGTTAGTGGGTGTATGACACGTAGCCGGTAGTTCAGGATTGACGCAAATGGGAGGAAAACAGGAGTCGGAACTTCTGCGGTGTCAATTTGTAGGATGTCTTTCCTGCCGCACGGAGTACCCTGCAGGCATATGCCACACTCCACAAGGTCTCCTGGATTGTTCTCCTGTCTGGGGAAACATTAAAACCCAGATCCTTCACAAAAACATATTTCTCAACCGAAGTGCACCAATGGGGTATGCACCAAAAGGCTCTTGTGCACCGCTCGGGAAAACACAGCTGTTTAGAAGATTGATAGATATTTGCCACTAGTGAGATCAACGGTGCAGCAGAGCATGCGTCAGTGGCAACTGGTCAGCAAAGTTAGGCTTGGAGGCTTCCGACCACATGTTAAGATCATCCGCCCAGATAAAGAAGTCAAGTTGGAGCACCTCCGTGTGAAAGTTGATATATGTTGTATAGCTCAAATCCAAGAAAGGAATGTTGTGAAACCCCATTGGTCATAATGGCAGAACTAGAGACGACTTCCTTATGCTTCACCCTCGTACTACAGCCATCAAGCAAACCAGCAATGCAGGCAAACTATTTGCTGGCTATGTCAATCAGCCGGAGCTTGCTAAGGAGTCGCACGTGTGAAATCCTAACAAAGATTTCGCTAAAAGCCAAAAAACTACATCAGTACCATGACCGGCATCCCCTGACATTGCCCAGTTCTCTCGGGCAACAAGCAGCCTGGTATTACACGTGCGTGCTTTCCGAAAGCCATGCTGAGCAGGGGTGAGGACGTCAAATTACTTAACTTGAAGATACAAGTTATATTTCAAAACCTTTCACATGGTGTTACGGAGGATGGATGACAAGCAATTAGCTCGGTAGTTCACTGGATCGTGGCGATTCCCAACTTTGTACGATGGCTTCACAGCACGCCATTCCTTTAGTTTAAAGGCGCCTGTTTCAAGTGAGCACTGAATTATTTGACGAATACGTGCAACCACGAAATCCGTCTCCTCCCTGAGAAAAATGGGATGTATCCTATCGGAACCAGGTTCAAGTATAGAAGTAGTGTCTCTACCCGGTCAGTAGTAATTTCGACACGCTTTAAAAGAGAGGGGGACTGAGGAAATCCTCGCCAACTACCGGCACCCCCGTGGTATGCACAGTGGCATATTGCGTAGCTGGAAGACAAGCTTTCCACATGTTATCATGAAGCACGGTATCGCCATTCTTGAATACCTTGCAGGTATACCATTGCCATCTTTGCCGCTTCATTTTAGGTGTGCGGAAGTTTTTCGAATTAATCGCAATTGGCCAGATGCTACTCATATAGTCCTAGCTTCTGGCGGTTTTAAGGGTGCATGAATTGCTAACCTCTTTTTAATGAGCATAAGCTTGAACCGCTTGGGTGAATTTGAATCGGTCCCTAAGTTTTTGCCCTCTCAAGATGCGCGAACCAACTTCCTGATCTACCCATGTGGGTCCTTCAGAGAACCATCGTTTTGTGACCGTTGGAACAATCCACTTAATGATAAACATCATGTTAGAGCAAAATAGGTCCCAAGCAGCATCGAGTTCCAAATGAGGGTGTTGTTGCTGTACGTGATGCGCGCAGCCAAATTTAAGCGGAGGGAGGCAGCTCACCAGAACTCCCGTCGATACACCTCCTGGACGGTGTAGCTAACTATCGAGTCCACTAAAAGGAGACTATACAGTGTTTACTTTTTCCGAGAGGCTGAAGAATGCCTAAAGCGGCGACATTTGACGGACAAGGTGCGAGCACATTGTCAAGGATGTATGACAGACGGCCTGGAAAAAGACGGGTGGGTGATAAAACGTGTTGTGTTAGATTACGTTCGGAGACTGTTTATGCTAAACTCGTACCAAAAGGATCAGGAAAGGAATTGTAGTGCTGGGCGTCGCTGTCTAGTCTCTATGGAGACCACATGTGGCTTCCACTATGTAAACCTTAAGGTCTGACTTCTAGTAAAGAACCCCCGCCCCCGGGTCTCTACCTGACGATCCGCCAAAGCTAGTGGATACCTTGGAACAAATACCTCTAACTTTGAAATATCTGGGGTAGCCAAGTATCCGTAAAAGCCATCAAGTCGGGTTCCTGCTACGGGATGAGTAGAAGCTCATCCAATCTGTTTCTCCTGCTTCTCAGTGTACCGGAATGATGAATATTGTTCTCCACCGAGACATCGGCAATATGTATACTATTTGAACTTCTGGAATGTGGTCATCTCTTTAACCTAGTTACCTGCCGGATTATTAATTCATCAATGGCCGGCTTCGTTTTAACCCGCTCTGCTGGGCAGAGGACTCACACAACATAGAAAATTTCTAAGTTCAGACTTGCAAACCACCGAAGGAAACGGCGGCAATCGTCTTCATGTTGATAGATAACATTTACGGGGCGAAGTTACAAAGAGTCGTCCTGCTACGTGCCGAGCCCTAAGGCGGATAAGAAGTTAATGCCTTCTTCTCCAGCATCGAAAAGTAAGGAGACCAACCGCTTCAGAAGAGCCTGGTCCTCCAATATTCTTTCACCCGAGGATTCCTTATTAGGATCAGGGGCGTTTAACTTGAACAGACGTCGCTTCCTCTCGGGAAATCTGTTTCTCTTGCCTTGATACGGCTTTTGCGGGTAAGGAGTTGCCTTACTAATATTCTCCAACGGGCTCATTTCATGGATAACATATTTGAACTGGGACTTAGAAGGCCGCGGAGTAGACCTATATTTTTCAACCTTCTTCGTCTTCCCATTATTTAGCTGAATAACCGAAGCAAAGTACCGGAGATACGCTGCTATCCGCTACCAGTGCATACGTCTGTTCCTTGTGTTCGTTGAACTACCGAGCAATGGATGAGGGTACTAGGGATGCAGTTGAAGAAACCAGCTTTTGCCTTCCAGGGGGAGTATCCGGCCCAGAGGCAGAAGAAAGCAAGGTGGGAAGCGGCGGAGCATCCTTATTCTCTTACACCGAATGCAGGCACGGGGACATGGGCGGCTTAGAGGTAGGCCATTCGAAACACTCCTGACCCCCAGACCAGCACGACAAGGATTACAAATAAGGACGACGACTGAGGAAGTGGTCTGCCACAGTATCTCATGCCGATCTGGAGCGACATTACAACGTGCAACGTGCAGTCACCCTCCGCAGAAGGAATATTGAACAGCCATTGATAGAAGTGTGAGTCTTACAACAAGCCAAGCAGTTTGCATGCAGCGAATTCTTTATTCACTAACTTCAGAATGATACTGCTGGGCGGCAAGGAAACGCAACGGAACACTGACGAAATTCAGCCCATGGTTTCGGGCCCCTCAAAACTTGATAGCTGACAATCCTCCTAACGGTTGTAGCGACTAAAATAAGCAGAAACCGGAGAAATACATATTGCAATCGTGTTAAGCAGCTTTGGTAATCTGAAATATTTAACGTATGTGCGGAACTCAGATTCTGAAATTTTTGCTTTGACGTTGCTTTGAAGGACAAAGTTTCAAGTAACTTATGATTGCACCGTTAGTCCGAATACGAACCAGTGATCTTCATGTCTGACTGTAGGTCATGCAGCTTGGTTTCGAATCCTGGGTGCAGCAGCTTTGTACTCGAGCCGGCTGTACATATACTACAATTGCTACGGTACAGTAAAGAATGGCACAGCCTCTGCGCACGACTGACATACAAAATTTAAATGAGCAGGATTGTTCGACGTTTGCATTTCTCTAGGTAGGCTCCTCCGAATTTCAACGTCATCCTTACAACTTTTTATAGGTCAGGATGGTAGGGCAAGGCATACGAATATGCAACGTTGCTTACCAGATTTATTTGAGGGCCAGGTCTCTGTCACTCTGTGCTCACGAGACTTCAGTAATCTCTCACATTTCCTACGTGGCGTTCAACAAATATTGAAACTCATACGGACTAATCATTTACTGTCCTGCAGCTTCGGGTTTAGGTTTTTGCATGGGGTGCTTAGTGGACACAATCGGCGTGAAATCGCTCAACTCTTTTGCTGTTGCGTGAAAATCCGGGGTAGAACAACGTTTGCGTTTGAATGCGCATCGTCGTCTGATCTACAGCACCTTCCATGGTTCGGTATGTAGAAGAATTTCCGCGGTAGCCCTAAACTTGAACCTGAACCTTGCTATGCGCAATAACTGTAGATAAAATTTGCGCGTTTAAATTCACGTTGTTCCACTTGGTTGTCACTTACAGTTTTACTACAGACATTTGAATTCCGGATATCAGTTGTCGTTGCAAAGCTGATACGGCTAATAAATGTTAAGAAAACTAATATTTAAGGTCTACTCAATACATACTGGCGGAACACTAGCGAACGCCACGGGCGTACATGGGTTGAATTTGCCGATTAGTAGCGCAACTCCTTCCAGCGGCATGGGTTCTAAAAGTACGGATCCTTACAAATGGTTCTCGGATAGATCTTGCGGAGCAAAAAGAACCAATAGATTTAAATATGTTAGAAAGGTCAGCAACAGGCAAACACCTTGTGTACCTACTGCTGATGTCGTCTGCGCTGCAGCACCACGCTTTGCGGTGTCACTGCCTTTATCTTACCCCAGAGCTCGTAAGCCCTGTGCTCAGCCTGCAGAATGCCACGCAGTCCCTTCATCTAATCATCTGACTTGGAAACGCTCTTATAGTGCATCACCGCACGGTTGTTTGGGTCGCCCACAGGTAAAGGCGGTTACACCCAAGCAAGGCTATCCTCATCGAAATACACCATTCAGCTTTTCATCCTCTTTGAGGTCAAACGTTTATCACACTAGTCGCTACAGACAGCGCTTTAAAAACTTTGCCTCTGGCAAATTAACTCTTAGGCGCTCTTCTTTTTGCTTCAAACCGCATAGTAGATACAAGGTTGATAGGCGGCCGGGCGCAGGTAAAATAAGGTCACAACTTTCGTCTAAGATTCCGCGCAGACTTGCGCGTGGCGCTGTTGACACCTCTTCCGCAGAATCATCTGATGTTAGGTTACTCACAAGATATTCATTCCGAAGGGTAAAAGCATCGGCTCTACCATCGAGGCGCCCAACATCAAAACATTACCGGTGGGTCACAATTCATTGTTCATATTTCCAGGCAACGTGTACGCGATGCGATAATGCGCCTGAGCTACCGTCGACGCCCAGTTTGTGCATATTTCGTTAGGACGGGACAATGTCATTCTGGAAAAGCTTGCCGCTACGAGCATGATGCAAACTACGTTCGCCTTTGTCCACGGTGAGAGGATATTTTTATTCCACGCACAGTTTTAAGGCAAATTTCAGTCTTTATTGATTAAGTACTTGTGCTCACTAACATTGCAAATAGTATATGTGCTCTGACGTCGTAATCAGTTTACAGCTGTGTGCCATTGAAATTTCTCATCATTAATTAACTAGATCACTAAACTACACATCAGGCTGTGAGCAAGTTCTATTTTATTGTTTGGAATTGTGCTTCGATTGTATAAAACCAGCCACAAGGGTTCCGTTTTGGCACTGGTGCCTCATTGCCACCTGTCTAAGGCGACCAATCAACTGACCGACAAAAATTGATCGTCATAGACAGTTCACGCATAGGGGCATTACTCATAGGAGAAAAGGTTGGGGATGCTTTTGATTGGCCGCCATGGACAGGTACTCGCCGTAGCAGGACAGGACAAGATCCAGGGACGAAACAAGGTTCCGCTTAACGAGCGCCCCGTTTCGTTTGGAAATAAGCGAAAAGAGCTCCCAGCACAGCGACTTGATAGAATGTTCTTGATTCTATAATGGTGTAAAGCAGAAGGCAGTGCAAGATGAGCAGAACACTTTCATAAACTAACGAGATTACGGGCAGTCACTGAAACTCAAGTCAATTCGGGAAACAGGGTCAGCCAATGTTTGCCTAGGCTACCTTTAAATTCCTCCGGTTTCGCATGCTAATAGGGCAGAAGGAAATTTATTCCAAACAGGCACAACGCGATTTGCGAAGAACCTGACTCTTAACTCTAGTCCGGATCTATGGTTCCTCAATTTTATGCAGTGGCCCTCAAATTGTCTTACTTAGCTGGTTCAAATAGATTGGTGGGCCTTAGACCCTTCATGAGTTTGAATGTCTCTATTAAGTCACTTCAATCTGTTTCTTGTCATTGAAACCCAACCTAAGTTAGCTAACCGTTCTTCATAGGATAACCCGCGCTGGCCTATCATTCGAGTGACCAGTCTTTGCATATTCTCAATACAAATAATACCTCTGCAAATAGGGTTCCCAGGCTTGAATACAGTATTCCAAAGATGGTCTGACCACAGCTTGCAACAAGGGAAGGCCTCTGGTTTGGTACGAATCATGACTCTCCTGAGACGAAATAAATCCTGTCGCGCTTTATTAGCCGCATGTTTGCACTACGCAGGTTGGACTGTACTAAGCCATGCATTGGATACTACTGTGGTATTGACTGTGATAATGAAGACCCCTTTCATCGAGTGTTATCACTACTTTTGCGAGGTGACTAACGTAAATACACGTGCCACTCAGTCATTACCTACCGTCCCGGTTCGATAAAAGAACGGTTGTTTCGCGAGGACGAAATTTGGCACTATCTCATCCTTCCGTTTTGTCCCGCACTACCTAAATCTTTCCGGAACCTGCACCCTCTCTACCATAAGATTCTGACTGGACCTACTTGAACTTGCGGCATCTTTGGCGACAGAAGGGAGTTTCCCTACGTCTGAAAGGCCCTGTATACAAGGCCACAGTGAGGGCCCTTCTGCTGTATTATAGTGAGACGGCCCCTTCGGTCTGAAGATCTGAGGCGCCTTCAAGTCTTTGATTATCGTTGTCTGCGGAGCATTGCAGGTGTCGGATGGCACCAGCGTGTCCGCAACGATGATGTGCGTAGTCGAGTGCTAGGTAAGGATAATCATGCTAGCTCCCTAAAACAACAGATAGCACTGAATAAGTTGCGTTGGCTCGGGCACGTGCTACGTATGCCTGGTCACCGCTTACCTAGAAGGGCCTTGTTTAGTCTGCCAGGTGTAGGATGGCGCAATTCTCGCGGTGGACAGAAGTTGACTTGGCAACGGGAAATGAAGACACTGACGACCAAACTGGGTACCGTTGGTCCGTCTCGGCTTCCGGGCTGGAGTCCACGTGACTCGCCTTGTGCTTGGCTCGAGACTTTACAGGACATGGCTCGCAGTAGACACCAGTGGCGCGTCTGCTGTCGTCTCTTAATCGGACTGCCTGTTTAAAGTGTGTTTGGTGCTGAGTTATCTACGGGGTAATGGCTGATTATGACGCGTGGCAGTAAAAGCTGCAAGGAAGCTGTCTCGCTGATGCCGCCTTATCTTTGCACGATAGCCAGCTGCTTGTGACGGTATGTTGTCTAAACAAGGTGTAGGCGCCTTGACCCTGAATGTTTGCTTAGGGCATAAAGGTTTTCAGGTAAGTCCCCCTTCTCTCCCTCTTATTTTTTATTTCGTAGGTCGTCCTGGTTGTATGGCAGCGAAGCATCAGTTCAAATGGCCGATGTACTGCTGTTGATGATGATGATGATTGGATCGGTTCGCTTGCCTTTACAAAGAGTGAGTAGGTAACATTATACGATGCAGAACCTATCATGGGGCATATTGCATATATTAACTGACCGTGGTATCCAACTTGGAGCAAAAATGGTCCTCTCTCAGGAATAGCTCTACTGATGTCATGCCTTTTATGATCGATAGAACAAGTGAATTAGGGGTGCTCAAACGGGTATCCAGAACGAGTAGAAGTCTTCCTTTCTCGAGCACCTTTGGACCACCAGTCTTCTTGTTCATACTTGTCTCAAACTGAGTGATGCACGACGACAACAACAGTACATCAGCCATTTGAACTGATACTTCGCTGCCATTCCACCATGATGACCTATGAAATAAAGCCTAATAAGGGAAAGGGGGACTTACCTGGAAACTTTAATGCCCTAAACAAACATACAGGGCCAAGGCAACTACATCTTGTGCTGACAACATACCGTCACAAACAGCCGGTTTTCGTGCAAACATAAGGCGGCGAGACAGCTTCCTTGCAGCTTTCACTGCCACGCGTCATAATCAGCCATTACCCCGTAGATAACTCAGCACCAAACACACTTTAAACAAGCAATCGGATTATGCGACGACAGCAGTCTCGCCACTGGTGTCGGTTGCGAGTTATGTCCTGAAAAGTCTCAAGCCAAGCACAAGGCGAGTCACGTGGACTCAAACCCGGAAGCCGAGACGGACCAACGGCACCAAGTTTGGTCGTCAATGACTTCATTTCCTGCTGCCAAGTCAACTTCTGTCCACCTCGAGCCTTGCGCCACCCTACACCTGACAGACTAAACTAGGCTCTCCTGGGTAAGCGGTGGCCAGGCATACGTAGCACGTACCCGAGCCGACGCGACTTATTCAATGCTCTTTTGTTCTAGTTAACTAGCACGACCATCACTACTTAGTATTCTCCCGCGCACATCATGGTTACGGACACGCTGATGCCATCCGACACCTGCAATGATTCGCAGACAGCGATGATGAGACTTGAAGGCGCCTCAGCTCTTCAGACCGAAGGGGCCAAGTCTCACTATCATAGAGCAGAACGACTCTCATTGTGACCTTGTATACATGGCCTTTCAGACCTTTCAGCAGGTTCACGATGGCAGCTCTGGCCTTTGCAGTGCTTAAGCTGACGTCAGTTTCTATGCGCCCACCTTTGCTGATGCAGTTGCTAAGGTAAGTGAATTGATCAACCACCTCGAGTTCCCCGTTCGCAAGGGTCAGGTCAGGTCAGATTTCCAGAACGGTATAGGCTTCTGCCTAACGTGTGTCCCGCTTCTTGCACCGGCAATCAACCAAGGGCCCCCGGTACTTCGACTTCCAATTGCGTTTCTTGCTTCTGCAAAGTAAACGAAGCAAAAAGAAGCAATCATGTACGTTCATCCTTCCTGAGTTCGCTGCAACGAGCATCAGTACGTTTACAATCATTCTGCAAAATGTTCTAACCAACTTCTGTCTAGACCTCTCTTGAAGGCGTAAACAGTTGTACAGTTCATCAACGAGGGGAGAAGCTTGTTCCAGTTACCGACAACGCGGTTCACGAAGTATTTCCCCCTGATATTTAGTCGAGACCTTCGATGCCTGAGGGTCAAGGGGTCATAAAGTAAGCTGATGGTCCTGCAGCAACACTTTGCACTTTGAATGTTCGAATCGCATACCAAGTAATGGGACCACTCTAGAGAGACTATTCAGCCTTGATTGTGCCGTCGCAACATTGTCGAAAAACAACACGAAATCGTCCGTATAATAAAGATCATCTAATCTTTCACCGGGCAGCACTTCAACGCCTACATCGTGAGATTCCGCAAGGGAACACTCCATGATGGAATCCACGACGAAATTGAACAAAAATGGGGAAATCGGACAACCCTGACGAACGCCACTTGTGGTCGGAAAGCTATCCGATAGGTCACCGTAGACCCTAACGCGGCCTGTAGTGTTCTAATATCGACCACGTAGAATGTTCGTGTTTCGTGGAAACACCTTTCGAACAAAATGGATCGATCGACTGAATCGAACGCACTCTTGAAATCGAGGAACACGGCTATTGTCCATCTGCGGTATGCGTGGCGCTGCTCTGTCACCTGCTTCAAAATGAGTATATGATCTTTACAGCCACCTCCTGGGTGGAAACCGGCCTGCTGTTCCCTAATCCGAGATTCCCGTTCCACAGTTAGGCGACCAACGAGAATCGTGGCTAGTAATTTTGTTACAACTGGCGTTAGGCTAATACCCCTGTGGTTAGAACAGTCTGCGGCTGCCCTTCTTGTATATTGCCACTGTAATCGATTCGCTCCAATTAGCCGGGACACTCCCAGATACGAATACGCAGGCCAGTGCTTTGCAGAGGACCTCGCCTTCATCCTTAAATAGTGCAGGTAGGAGAGAAGCCGGGCCAGCGAGACGAAAACGATTGAGGGCTGTGATCGCGTTTCGGACCCCGGCCTCCGATGGAGGCTCTAAACTAACCCTCAATGGCTCGTCCTGCATCAGCTGAGTAGGAAGAGGTCCGGGAGCGGGGGGGCCAGCTGGACTGATCTTGAAAGCGTTCTGCCCAACGACCCATACGGCGCTCATTATTGTGCATCAGTGCACCCGCGCTCTCTGTCTCACTGACGCCTGGTTTCCTGAGACCAGTGGTGCGGATCAGCTGGAAGAGTTTGCGGTAATTTCCCACTGTTCCTG